AGCATGCAGCTTGGTGCGGCAGGACGAGGATATTTACGAGTGAGGTGGTCGCGGAGGATTAGGCGCCAATCTTCCAAGCTTAGGCCGCCAATCTCGCAACGCTATCTTGGCAGGACATCCTATCATTAGCCCACTCGCGTCCAGGGCATCGTAGCATGGTCCTGCAGCTTCCTGACCCGTGGTGAGGGCTATACCTGTCACGTAATGGAGGGACGTGCTGCGAAGATGCGGTGAGGAGATTGGGATGTTTGGAGTCCTTGCTGTTGTGCTGCACTCGCGGGCTTCTCCGCCTCCCTTAGCCCTTCTAGTTCCTGTTGTGCACGCTCTGCTCGTATAATCATTTTGGTCTCCTGTGTGTGCGTTTCCTCTTTGCAGGCACGCGCGTTACGACGCGACGATCGCTTCGATCAATGTTGGTCTGACGTGGCACGGGGGAGGAGATGGGTGGCCGTTGTCTGGAGGAGGGGTGCCGACGGCAGAGGGCCGGGGCAGGGCCGCCATCACCCAGTGCGCCAAGGCGATGCTGGTGGAGTGCCGGCGCCCAGCTCTCTGCGGCCTCGGGCTCCTGCCATGACCCACCCGCGATTTGGGGGCGTCGTCGAGAAGGGGCAGGGCCAGTGACAGTCAATCTGATTATGATGCTGGTCATGATGATAGTAGTGCTGATGGTGATGGTGGCTGTGACGCTGATCATGGTGATGGTGAGGAGGGGCATTATTAGGAATGTCAGAAGTCAGTGAAGCCGCGCCGCACGGCGCATCGGGTAAACAGCACAGGGTCAATGACAGCAGTTTTGATACATAAGTTCTTAGAACACATATGCTTGGGCAATGCTTCTCCACCAGGTTCTACTGTAGACCAAGCCGATCTCAGCATGCATAGATGTGCCAGAGGCCGAGCATGCTTGGAAGGAATGCTCGTGCATCACACGTACCCATGTCAGTCTGGGGCGGCCTCGTGCTCCTCTTCCGTGTAAGACGGGAGGATTCAGGCTCCCCGAGGTAAGACAGCATCGCGAGTTGCCGTGTCCGGCATGCTACCAAGCTTCCCAGATAAGTCAAGTTGCTTCATGAGTATGCGGCTGCTCAGGCGGTTCTGCCTTGCTTGCTTGTGGGAGATCATAGAATGAGGGATCTTCATAATCCTGCGAAGACATCGTGCCTGAAACGCGGCAAGTTTATTCCTCTCGGCTTTCCGCAGACGCAGGGCCTCGATGCTGTACGTGAGTTTGCGGTGAATGACAAAACCGTTCTTCTCAGACATATGTTCGCGTGGCTTCGCCTCAGGCTTCATTTATCCAGGGCTCCCCTGGCCTTTCCCAGTCTGCGCGCCAGAGACGCGTCCGCGTTGCAGTCAGCATTCAAGAGGCCTCCAAGATACAGAGCGGGACTCGTAGGTTTGACTAGGTCTTCAGTGGATATGAATACTCGCGCTGCATGACGTACCTGCAGATTCAAAGTTTTTTTCCCAAATCGGGCTCTAGACCGAACTTCCACGCATGGTGAACAAGCGTGCGTAAGAAAAGCTGCAAACGAGGGATGCCGTCCGACATCAAGGCTGTTTCGCCCGCGTACGCTACGTCTAAGCATGTTCGCCCTTCAGCAAGCGGACCGAGCTCTTGCACCACACCCTCGACATCTGTCAGCAGCACGGACAGCATAATGTTGCAGAGATAAGGGTCAGGGGGCACCCTTGCGCGATGCCAGATTGTTGGTCGAAGATGCCAGACTCCCCATGCGCACTGCGCACTTCAAAAGTCATGCTGTCGGAAACCTCTGCTGTGGTATCGATAAACTCACCTGGTATGCCAAACCGGGACAGGGCGATGACCAAAGCATCCGCGTCCACTCGCTCAAAGGTTTTTGACCAGTCAAGCAGCAGCACGGACAGGCAGCCTTCTTTGGTCGCCCATGCCTTCTCTATCAGCCTCTGAACCAGAAAGTACTATGCGTTGCTAGCTCCAGGGCGTTTTCTAAATCCGAGTTGCGTTGGTCGCAGGCGTTCCTCAACTCCTCCCTCTACCATGCGGTGCAGGACCCGGGCGGCGATGACCTTGTACCCAACAGACAGAAGCGATACTGGCCGGTAGTTCTCTGAGACTCTGGCAGAGACATATCGCCATTTTTGTACACAGTGGACACACTGAGTGCTTCCACTGCTTTGGCACGGTCTTCTTCCTCCAGCGAAAGTTGCAAATATTGAGCAGCACATCGCGGGCATCAGCGTCAGACCGCAATGTTTGCCAGAGGTCCAGGGGAATGCCGTCAGGTCCCGCAGCCCGCCCTGCCCGCAAGTCCGTCAGTACTGCTGACAGTTTCTCGCTGGAGAAATCGCCCGTCCGCAGAGGCAACACAGGGCCAAGTTTGTCCCCGTGCGGAAGGGCTCTGCCAGGTAACGGCGGTTTCCACTGCACCGTGGCGTAATACGTTGCTATACTTCCAGCGCGCTCTTCACTGCCGACGAGATGTCCAGACGTGTCTCTAAGCCTCCCCTGTCGCTTCAAGCCTCTCCGTTTGAACTGTCTCAGACTTCTCCGATCCCCATTTGGCAACATGTCGTTCAGCCATGCCTCCCGGCTCTTATTTGCAGATGTTCTGAACTGTTGTGGCAGAAAGTATTTATCATTATCAATTTGGCCAGCCACGCGGGCTTGGGTGCGTTGTTCTATCAGACTCAATGTGCCCCGTCGTATCCACGGCCAGCTCGCTAAGCGCTTGCGCAGGGCGCCTGTCAAGACAGACAGCCGCCGCCGCAGCCATGCCGGCCGGAAGTGGCCCTGGCAGCCACTGTGTTAACAGCCGCGTTCTCGCAGATTTGGTGCAGAAGCTCCGATACGAAATACGTCTGCGCGTTCTCCTGGGCGATCGAAGCCAAAGTTTGCAAACTCAGGGTGTACCGCGCCGGCTTTGGAGAGGTTTTTGGAATCCCCACGGCAAGCCTAGCAACGACGAGGAAGTGGTGCGAAGAAAAACCTACCGATCGTTCCGTCCTGACCTCTCGCACCGTGTCCTGCCCCTTGCGCTCCACAAGCAAGTGGTCGATCTCGGCGACACTCTGCGGCGTGAGATCCGAAACCAGCGTAGCCCAGAGATCATAGTAAGTCGCTCTCTGGTCACCTGGCCTGTCCAGAAACATGTTAGCAAGAACCATGTGGAGTGCAGTGCAAATTTCGACGATCATATTCTGATTGCTGCGTGCATCGGTCGCGTTGCCTGGAGCACCCCAGACATGTGGCACGACAACATCTGCATGCTCGCACGTCGGGCCAAAACGAGCACTCTTGACACCACAAACGTACAAAGGTCCATAGGCTGGATGCGAGAAATGAAAGTGTGAAGGTCATCATGGAAGTCGTGACGCACATCAAACTCAAGACCAAATTGCGACAGTACGCGATAATGATAGACATGTAGCCGCCTGGGTCTCGAAGAGTCAGGCTAGCAAGTCAGCTCGACTCCTGCACGAAGCTCATGACAGTGTGCCGGGCAGAAGGGGCAACCACGAAGCCCGCTCCTGCCTGCTCGAGGACAGTCTCGGGACCGCCCGACAAAATAACTAAACACCTTTTGTGTTAAACTCGGAGGATGTGCACAGGTGTGTCTCCTGCAAGCAAAGCACTGCGATCCTTCTCTCCTCCATGGTCTTTACCAGCTGCTTCAATTTCGTGCAGTCGCTGTCCAACCGCATGCCTTCCACTTTCCACGAGGCAATGGTCGTGACATCATATGTCCTGCACGCCCTTTCTTCCAAACAAATTCATGACCAAGAACAGGTGCGCTATGGTAGGGTTGATGGTGCTGATGGTGACTGCAAGGTTCTGAAACGTGTGGTGAAACGCCTGGTTCGAATCTGCGTGGTAAAGCTTCGTGTAAGCTTCCATGCCCACAATCTGGAGCTAGGGTGCTGATAGCTTATGCGCCGTGCAAGTCCCTAGTGGGACTCTTCCCCCTTCACTCCTTTTCCTTTTGGGCCGATTTTAATGATCCCCTTGGCTGGGAACCGCTGCAGTTTCTCCTGCAGCTTCTTGACCATCTCCAGGAACTGTGGGACATCGGCCTGAGTTGACCAGCCCTTCCAACCCGTGTCGTACTCCACCTTCAGCGTGCCGCCGTGGATTGTCACCTGCAGCGCAACCTCGCTGCCGACCCACACCTTGCCCTCCTCAGGGTTGGCCCAGACGCTGGTGCTGACGTAGCCCCACTCCTTCAGCATCCGCTTGGATCCAAAGCCGAACGAATTCACGATTCTCTCCGGCACTCTGGCAATGCTTTGTTCTATTTGGTCCAGACCGTGTTTCCGCCCTCCTTGAAAGCCTTCTTGTGGACCGTGTGCGCTGCGTTGTCCCTGCCAGCCTGGTCCCAGAACTTTGCAAGAGCAAGCCCTGGAACCCGCCTTTGACGGACGTAAGCGTCCTCCGGATGAGCTGCATGACCGCACCCCCTGGATAAGACAGCATCCCCCCCTTCCCTTTGTATCTCTTGATCCGTGGGATTGAATGCGGTGCTAGTGAAACAACTGGCGGGGAAGCCGAGCTTTCTTACCTATACGACCACCCTTCGGGTGATCAGGAGGTTCAGGGGGGGGGGACCAACGTCTCACTCGATCGGTCTCACTATCGATCTCACTTTCGATCTCACTATCGGTCTCGCTCGATCGATCTCGATCTATCTCACAATCGATCTCACTCGATCTATTTCATTCGATCGATCTCACAATCGATCTCACAATCGATCTCACAATCGATCTCACTATCGATCTCACTATCGATCTCACTATCGATTTCACATTCGGTCTCACTATCGACCACACTATCGATATCACAATCCACGTCATCATCATCGTCATCATCATCATCATCATCATCGTCATCAACGTTATCAACATGATCATCATCATCATCATCATCATTTTCATCACCGGGGCACCATCATCATCATCACTTCATCACCATCATCGTCAACATCATCATCATCACCATCATCATCACCATCGGGACACCATCATCGTCACCATCATCATCAACATCATCATCATCGGGACACCATCATCATCATCAGCATCGGAACACCACCATCATAATCATCATCATCATCATCTCATCATCATCTGAACACCATCACCGACATCATCATCATCATCACCATCGGGACACCATCATCATCAGCAACATCATCAACACCATCGGGACACCATCATCATCGTCACCATCATCATCACCATCATCATCTTCATTATCATCGGGGCACCATCATCATCATCAACATCAGCAGCATCATCATCATCACCGGGCCACCATCATCAGCATCATCATCATCACCTCATCATCAACATCATCATCATCTGGACACCATCATCGTCATCAGTATCAATTTCATCATCATCGGGACACCATCGTCATCACCATCATCATCAACAGCGTCATCGTCAACCTCATCAGCACCATCATCATCGAGACACCAACATCTTCATCATCATCATCTTCATCATCATCAGCATCATCATCTCATCACCCCATCATCATCAACATCATC